TCTGATACAAAAGATGCGGAACGCTCGGGTAGGCCAAATGAAGCAGTAACTTCGGAAAATGTTAAGCAGGTTTTAAAAGTTGTGATCCAAACTGAAAGTTCGTGAGATTGCTCAGATAGTAGACATATCAACGGGAAGTGCATTTACCATCTTACACGAAAAGTTGAGTATGAAAAAAGTGTTTTCGAAATGGATGCCGCGTTTTCTCAAAGCAACAACGAGTTGACAACTCGGAGAGCTGTGTGTCACTGTCCACCCGAAATAAACAGGATTTCTTGCGCCGTTATGTGACAGTAGACGAAACATGGATCCACCATTTTGCTCAGGAATCAATGCACTGGTGTCAAAATGGTATCAAGCAAACTAAATCTATGAGCCCACGCTGAAAACTTAGCTACACTAAACTTAGCTTTATCTGGTAGATTTGGAACCAACACTTGTTAGATACTCTGCTTGTATTATTATTAGTTTTCTTGAATACTATATGAAATGATTATTTCCAGGAAAAGGAAAACGATCACAGTAGCAGTGAAGACGGCTTTGTGCCCACTGCCCTATGGGCATTTGAGTCAAAGAAAACGACCGACTACCACGAAGAAATGGACGGAAGTTCATTTGAACGATAGTTTGAAGAAATGCTCCCAAATCTTGACGGCAATGCCGTCATTGTACTTGATAATGCTGCACACCACACTAGAAAACATTCCCAAAATATCCACAAGAAAGGCAGTAATTCAACAATGGCTCTTATCAAAAGACATTCGTTTCAATGAAAATATGGTCAAAGCAGAACTTATCCATCTAGTCAGGAAGCATAAATATAACTATAATCTTAGTGTTATTGTCGAAATGGCGAAAAACCAAAAGTTTGAGTGACAGTGGACTACGAGGGGTATAGCTTCCTACACAAATGTGTATTTTTGTACCATGGCCGATTCATGGTTCGGCCCTACAACGGCAAACTCGCTTTGCCTGTGCTTTGCCGACGTTTTTTCCCGAATATTTTTTGATGTGAAACACAAATAAATGTATGTCAGAAATATTAAGAACATATGAAATATAATAATATTTTTTTTATTCACTCAATGTACAAAGATAACAAACAATATGAGTAAATAAATATAAAATCAAAACAGGCCCAATAGAAGGCATCGCCTGTACATGGACCAATAATTTAAGTTGAAACTGTAGAATGCAAATGACAAAAAAGGACAAAAATTAGCTACAGTAGATTATGTATTTAGTTGATGTTCGTATTTATGAGTTTATGAATTTCAGTCCTAGATATAGAATGTAGCCACTAAATCTTTTAAGTCTTTAGGTATAATTTCATAAAATTTAGGCGCTAAATAGAGATATGATTGCATTATAGATTTATGCGGTTGAGGAACTACTGTGCCACGAATTTTGTACCTGGTATAGTGATTATGTTTAATTTTTTGGTCGGTGTTTACAAATTTATGGTAGTGAGTGATACTGTGTAAGAAATAAAGCTGTGTTATATCATACATTCGAACATCTGCGTATAATTTTTCAGTGGGATAAAGTTTCGGTTTTTTAAATATCATTTTTAGAATACTTTTTTGAAAAACATCTAAATTAAAGATATGTGAGGAACATGCAGCTCCCCATGCTAATATACCATATGTGAGATGAGGCTCAATCAGTGCATGGTATAATGTTCGAACATATTTTTCTGTCAATATATTCCCAAGGTATTTAATTTTGTAGGATACACATCTAACTTTCTTTAAAATATAATTGACATGAATGTCCCATCGTAAGTGAGGATCCAAGACCACTCCAAGGTATTTTATGTTGGGCACTCTATTAATTTGCATTTTTTGATCATTAATGTTGAAGGAGAAATTTGTGTAATTTGGCAGATGTCTAGCATAAGATCCAAATGGTAAAACATGTGTTTTAGAGTAGTTAATGCTTAATTTTCTACTGTTAAACCACCGAATAATTTTGATAAAATCATTTTCAATTACATTTTTCAGATCAGACCAGTCAGTGTCTTCATATAATATTGCAGTATCATCTGCAAAACTAGTTATTTTGCCAACACAATTAATTTGGAAAATATCATTTAAATATATATTGAATAACAGCGGACCTAAGACAGTTCCTTGTGGGACCCCACACTTAATATACATTTCTTTACTAAATGATCCCGATATCTGCACAGATTGTGGGCGATTTGACAAATAATTTTCGATCAGTGAGTACGCGTTGCCTCTGAAACCAATTCTCTCCAATGCTTCTAGTAATAATTTGTGATTAACTGTGTCGAAAGCTTTCTTTAAATCAACAAAAATGCAGATTGAAGGGATTCTGTTATCAATATTTTGATGTATTTGATTTACAATTTTAGTTATTGCGTCCGATGTAGCCTTCCCTTCTGTAAATCCATGTTGATTTTCACTTAAAATTTAGAATTTTGTGAGGTATCGAATCATTCTAGTAGATAAAACTTTTTCAAAAACCTTTGCTACACTGGATATTATTGATATTGGTCTATAGTTGTTAACATCTGTTTTGGTTCCTGATTTATGTATCGGTATTATATTACCTTTTTTTAAAATTGAGGGATATATGCCAGATTCAAAGCATTTGTTGATTAGGTAAGTGAGTGGTTCTGTTATGTCCTCGGCTATAATTTTCAAATGCTCGCTTTTAATACCATCGAACCCAGGACTTTTCCAATTTTTTAAGGACATAACAGTGGTGTATACTTCACATTGCTCGACTTTATCCAAAATAAATGAGTTCAAAGTTCTTTTTGGAAGCTGAGTATTTTGTACATTTGCTTGTATATTACTTGCTAAATTTTCGCCTATGTCGGTAAAGAATTGTACAAATTCATCGCATATCTGTTGAGTATTTTTTAATACTGTTCCCGATGTTGTAGTTAACTCAGTGACACACTCTTTAAATTTTGTTTTCCCAGTAATCTCATCAATAGTTGTCCAAAGCAGCTTAGGATCATTTGAGTTATTATTCAATTTTACGTATTTAGGTAATGTTTTCGTTTGGTTTGCCTTGCAAGCTCTATAAATTTATTTTTATATTGGTTGTAGCAGTCGGTATTCTCTGTAGTTGGCGTTAGTTTCATTACATTATATAGTCTTTCTTTTTCTATTGCTGATGTTATTAATCCTTTGGTAATCCAGGCATTTCTGCTTTTCTCTTTGTGACTAATTATTACTTTATTGGTACTAATATCTATTAGTTTTTTATTTTCTCTATGAATAGTCCCGTTGCTTTGTCTATATTATTTATAGAGTATAATTGTTCCCAGGATTCTTGTTTGACATTTGATATTAGTTTTGATTTGTCGACAAAAAATTTGTAATTTTCCTGGTTGTTATTAACGATAGGGATGTTAGAATGTTTTTCATTTGAAGATATCAGTAAAATAGTGGAGAAGTGGTCAGTAATATCGCTTTCTAGGATTATTGGTATACAAGTAATTTTGTTGGATAGGTCTTTCACAAAGCAGTGATCTATACATGTGCCACTGATGGACCTTGTAGGTAGGTTTACATAGGACAGAAATCCGTTACTTGATAGGATATTCAAGTATTCATTTGTGATGGGATCATCGTCCAAAATATTTATATTGACATCTCCCAAGAAGATATGTTGCTTTAAATGAATTTTATTTTGATTTTGAAAAAAAAATTCGATATTCTTCAAAAACTCGTGGGGTTCTGAACATGGCGGACGATAAATTGCAGATACCTCAATTTTGTTATGGTTAATTTGGATCATTATGTTTAAAATTTTGATTCCATCAGTGAAAGTGAATGTATCATGATTATATTGCAGTTCATTTCTTACAAAAACTATCACCCCATCGTTTTGGTTATAAGTGCCAAAGTTATACAGCGTGTCATATCCCTCCTGATTGAAGCAAGAAATATCAACCACTTGCCATGTTTCAGTTAAAACTATTAGATCAAAATTGTACCATATTTGGTCGAGTAGTATTTTTAAGTAATCAATGTTGTGTTTTATACTCCTTATGTTCATATTAAAAATTCGAAATTTTGCATCAGAATTTTGTGTACATAAATTAAGTTCAAATATGGTCGTACTCAGCACCCAATGCTGTTGAAAATGAGAACGTCAATGCTGAAATTAATAAAATTTAGTTTTACTCAAATCATTTAATATCCCCAAAAATAATAAAATATTTCTTTTTATGAATGACCACGTGGAACGAAAACGAGCAACAGTAGTGAAGCATCTTAAATACAAACCCCTTCATTTGATGCCACCTATCACTCCATAGGGAATGTCAGATTAATTCTTAGTCTAAGGGGGTTGTATCAATTAATCTGATCTGATATGTGTGTATGTTTTGATGCGTTGTACTGCAATAGGGCTTTAGTATATCGCATAGGGATTTGTAGTGCAAGACTTGATTTAGGAATCTGTCTAAGGGGGCGCAGCGATGGTCACATCTTTCATGTTCAGGAAGATGATATAATTATTGCAACTTTGCATACAGTTTTCTTTTGGTGACTCCGACAAACTTTTTAACTACTTTTTCAAATCTGTTGCCTTTTCGAGTGGGAAAATTCCGAAATCCGTCGAATTCATAACTTATTGTTATTATTCCTATCGGACAATCATATATGTTATTGTTGGTTCTAACGCATCTTGTCCGACATGTATCAATCGCAAAACATTAACTCGTTAAAGATGTAACGAATGTCATTTTTTAAACATTCGCGAACGCGAATGCAAATATCTGCTAAGGACACGCGAATGCGAATATTTTTGTTTGAGAGTCTATAATTTTTTGTTTGTTTAGAGTTTAGACTATACAGGGTTATTACAAAAGAATCATCGGGTTTTAAAAATATATATTTCTGAAGGTATTACAGATCTAACAGTAAGCGACATGTCAATGAAAAGGTAAAATATTCAAGTTTTAAGCATGTTGTTACAAATGTTCGATGTAGGCTCCTTGCGTCACGCGACATATGTCCAAACGATAGTCCAGTTCGGCCCATACACGCTTTACGTGGTCGTCAGGTCGTAAGCTTTGTAGCATCTGTAGACGGTACGGTTTGAATCGCAATCGTTTCCGCAAAATTTTCCATACGGTTGGCTGGGGAATACCAAGGTCACTTCCTGCTCTGCTAGTAGACTTTCGCGGAGAACGCGTGAAACTGTGTCTAATTGCGTCCACCATTTCGTCAGGAACTCGTGGTCTTCCGGTACTTTTACGTTTCGTAATGGAACCTGTCTTCTTGAATTGTCGATACCATCGTGTAATGCTCTGATGACCTGGATAATCAGTTCCATACCTCCGTCGGAATGCACGTTGCACCGTAACAACCGATAAACATCGCGCGTACTCTAACACACAAAACGCTTCTGCTGCATAGTTGCCATTTTGTATACTGAGCTCGTGGCGCTACCTATGGAGGTAAAGCGGCGTTCGCAAGCACGTGCTTTAAACTCGAACATTTTCCTTTTCTAGTGTTATGTCATTTGATATTATATTTGCAATACTCTCTGAATTATAAATTTTTAAAACCCGACGATTCTTTTGTAATAACGCTGCTTTTATAGTTTATTGCAGAAGAATATATACTAAGTGACATATAAATCCGAACACCGAGTTTAAATGGTTTTATTTTAATAAAATTTTGTATAAGTACTTAATGAAGCATAATGAGTAAATGATAAAAATTTCAAAATGATTGCACTGCTTTAAAGCCCTTTGACCTTTAATAATGTGTGGATGCACCCTGATGTGCTACGCATTCTCCAACGCGCCTAGGCATGCTTCTGATCAGGTGGTCAATGTCCTCCTGTGGTATCTCATTCCAGGCAACCACCAACTCCTCTCGAAGTGCTTCTAGAGTCTGAGGAGGACGTTGCAAATTGAGCAATCTCCTACCCATCATATCTCACACGTGCTCAATTGGGGATAAGTCGGGAGATCTTGGTGGCCATGGTAACAATGTGACATCATTATGTTGAAAGAAGTCTATTGTGACTCTTGCAACATGTGGTCGGGCATTATCTTGTTGGAAAGTTGGATCTGCCAGGGTGTCAAGATAGGGTAAAAGATGGGGTTCTAGAACTTCGTGGATATAACGCTGCGCGTTCATGTTACCTCTGATGAAGATTAAAGGTGACCTGGAACCATAAGCTATAGCACCCCAAACCATAACTCCAACAGTGTGATGAACATGTCTTTCAACAAAAAACTGTGGATTCCTCCTTTCACCACGTCGCCTTCTAACCCTGGCACGACCATCGTGCATGCCTAAACAAAATCGAGACTCGTCACTAAAGACAATACTGTTCCATTCCTGATCCGAAAGTGACCGTTGTCTGCACCAGTCAAGGCGATTACATCGGTGTTCTCGAGTTAAAGGGAGGACCCAGTGTAGCCGGTATGAAAACAAGCCAAAACTTCTCATTGGTCGGTAAACACTTCGCATGCCAATAGGTCTTCCGTGTTCTGCAAACCGTTCATTTGCAATGGACCTGGTAGTGGAGAAACGGTCCCTTAACCCTGCATCACTCGCGCTATGAGCATTTCGCTCATTGTTTATGAAAAACAACGATCATTTGGCATCGTCGCGGGGGACGCGCCAATCCCCACTTCTAGCTTACTTTATAACTGTACTCTTGAAGATGTGGTGACGTGGAATTTAATTAGTTCGCTGTGTCAAGTGTTACGGGACGTTTGTTGACTGATTGCAAGCGAGGTGAGACTTTTGCTCATTACGCGAGTGATCGTGTACCATTTTTTGATCTGGAGAGAGCATTTTGCTCATAGCGCGAGTGTCACTATTACGATTGTTCCTGTATGTTTGATGAGGCGATAATTTTTATAAGATTCAACTGGACAATTTTAACGATATATTGTTGTTTCAGAGTAATAGAAATGTACAGCAGAAGCAAAAAAATTGCCAATCTAGGCCGAGAAATATACGATAGAGCTTGTATGCAGGAAATGTTGGAGAGTGTTAGTTGGACTGTCGCCACAGAGCCAGTGGAAGAAACTATTTTGGACAATAATCAGTTGGATATTGAAAGTGACGATTCAAGTGAGTTCAGTGAACACAATACCAACTCAGAGCTGTCCGAAGAAGAAAGTGTTAGCGATGATAAATACAAAAAAATCAATTTCACTGGTCAACATTGCTTCGTGGGTAAAGATAAAGCCACCCAATGGCTGGCTCATGCATCCTCACGACCGAAAACAAGAACTTTACGTAAAAATATTGTCATTCATCCCCCAGGCGTAAAGAGAGTGGCACAAAATGCAAAGACTGAAAGGGATTGTTGGGAGTTGTTTATGACACCAGCGATGATAGAATATATTGTCGGATGTACAAACATCTACCTGAATAATCTGCGCAAAAACTATGACCGTGAACGAGATTGTCGACCAACAGATGCCACAGAACTATATGCCTTTTTTGGACTTATATACATGGCCGGGGTGAAGAAAAACCAATATTTATCCACAAAAGAGTTATGGGATACCGATGGATCAGCTGCTGATTGCTTCCGCCTCACAATGTCAAGAGAAAGATTCCACCTTCTAGTGAGAGCCATCAGATTTGACGACATAAACAATCGAGAAGAAAGAAAGTCCGTTGACAACATCACCCATATTCGGCAGCTTTTTGAGGAGTTTGTTGGAAAATGCCAAGAAAATTACCAAATTGGGGAATATTGTACGGTAGACGAAATGCTGGAAAATTTCAGAGGAAGATGCAAATTCAAGCAATATATTGCCAGCAAGCCAGCGAAATATGGAGTGAAAATATACGCACTGGTTGATGCAAGAATGTTCTACCTTTACAATATGGAAATCTATCCAGGAAAACAACCAAATGGACCATACACGCTAGATAATTCTGCATTTGCTGTAGTCAAGCGTATTGCATCTCCGATTCTAAACACTGGTAGGAATATCACAATAGATAATTTTTTTACATCAATACCTTTGGCTGAATATATGCTTGATAAAAGAACTACTATAGTGGGAACACTTAGAAAGAACAAAAGAGAGATTCCACCAGTATTCTTAGAAACGAAGCAGAGACCAGTTCCTAGTACCATGTTTGCATACCGCAAAGATACTGTCTTGGTCTCCTACAAACCAAAACCCAACAAAAATGTTCTTTTATTATCTACGTTCCATTCAGATGGACATCTTGATCCTGAATCTGGCGTTTTGCAGAAGCCGGAAATAGTGACTTTCTATAACTGTACGAAGGGTGGAGTTGATGTAGTTGATGAGCTGAAGTCCAATTACTCAGTGTCCAGGTTCTGTTGCCGATGGCCATTACGAGTATTTTTTACAATACTGGATGTAGCAGGTATTAATTCCCATATTATCTACAAAAGTAATACATCCAAAATCCTGGCGCGCAGAATTTATTTGAAGAACTTAGCGCTGCAACTGATCAAACCACAGATGATTACTCGTTCATCGATTCGAACTTTACCACTGGATATTCGAACCCGAATCAGACAAATTTTGGGTATACCAGAAACAGACATCAATGCAAGCGTATCAGCACCAGGATTTTGTGGAATATGCCCAAGAAAAAAGAATAGAAGGACAAAAAAGCAATGTAGCAAGTGCAATATCCCCATATGCAACGACCATGTCACATTTATTTGTTCTACATGCTCCAATTCGATAAACAACTTGCATTGGGCAAGTGAATAATTCCTTTATTTTACTAAGCACACGGTTCCTGTTTTAGTTCTAATTATATTATGACACAATATTATTATTTATATAATATACATTTTGAGTTGTCATTAAATAAATCTAACAGTTTATGTGCATTATTGGGAGAATTTGCATGTAAAAATGCCTTTAATATATCTTAACCCAATTGTAAACTGTACGTGAGCAAAATGCTCACGCGCGAGTGATGGTGTAACTTTTACATGCGCGAGTGATGCAGGGTTAAGGCCAATAATCTTAGGCGGCGATCTTCACGGTCTGTTGTTCTACGGCGGCGTTCAGTGCCCCTTGCTCTTTGTGTACGGCCTTCTCGAAGCCATGCCTGACAACACCTAACCACAGTGTCTACACTTCTTTGCACTCTAACTGCAATTGCCCGAAAAGAAAGTCCAGCTTCCCGAAGTCCCACTATACGGCCCCTATCAAACTCACTAAGTTGACAAAATCGTACAGGTCTCCGTACTCTAGGCATCGTAACAGATCGTAAAGGATGTCAAGAACCAAAATCTGCCAACGTTGATTCTTTACTGCGGCTGAAATATTCATTTTTAGAGCGTTAGTGAATTAAAAAAAAGCAGTATAAAAACCGGAATGTCCAACTGATAAGGCTGATAATTTTTTCACTTGTTATTTACAGTAAGATAAATACATTCCCCAACTTTTATTAAAATAAAACCATTTAAACTGGGTGTTCGGATTTATATGTCACTTAGTATAGTTAGGTTGATTATGCATTATATTTTTTAGTTTTACTCAAGATGATTATCTAAACATGAAGTTAAAGACTGATGAAAGTTTCATAGAAGAATTGTTTTTTGTTTGTTTCAGTTGAATTTAATTTTTGTGGTACAATACAAGTTCTAATGAGAATTTAATTTTTAAGCTTATTAAAGTCAAATAAATAATTTCATTTTTGTTTGTTCAAAGTGTTTACGTATGATTCTCATAAAAAATAATTATATTTATAGTTTATTGTAGAAAAATACTGCATTTCTTTGATTATTTGAAGTCATAACAACGAAGCATGGTCTGTAATTTCGTTGAAATGTATACAATCTAAATAATGTCTCAGCTTTTCGACCGACCAAATAACGGCAAGGCACTCCTTTTCCATAACTGACAGTTTCAGTTTCTGTTTGTTTAAAGATCTAGGAAGGTAATATATCACCTTTTCACCTTCCTCGAATTGTTGAGTTGAAACTGCTCCTAAACCATTATTTGACGCATCGGTTTGTAAGTAAAATGTTCTACCGAAATCAGGGGCAGACAAACTAGGAGCGGTCACGAGACGTCCTTTGAGTTCAGTAAAAGATTTTTGACAATCTGGAGTCCAGGTCCACTTGACGTTTTTCTCAGTTAGGTGGAGTATAGCGGCAAGTAGTGAGGAGAAATCTGGTACAAATCGTCTGTACCATGAAGGACCGCCCACTAGTCTACGAACTTCAGTAACATTGTTAGAAGGTCGAAGACCCTTACCGTTAATCAAGTATCACAGATACCTCAATTCTGGCTTACAGAAGTGACAATTCCCCAGCGATACAACAAGTCCAGGTTCACGGAGGCGATCGAACAC